AAGTTTATTCAAATTGGATTACTAGATAGCTGGCAAATTTAATTTTTATTCACAAAATCAACATAGCCTCGGAGGGTCATTTTAATAGTAAAGATCCCACATACTGTCGGGATTTTGGATTACTGGATTTTATGGTAAACTCGCACGTGCATATAAGAGGTACGGTTAGGATGGATATAGAGATCATGATAACACGTTGTAAAAGTGGTAACTGTTTCGAAGCAGATATGCGTCGGTATATGAATCACACCAATATCAACCAAAAATAATACTATATACCCAAACCATGGAAGGCTGCGACAAAGGTGTGGAAAAAATTAGTCCACGTAATTAGGGTTATTAGAGTTCTAGATTACATCATGAGTAGAGGTGCAGGTGAATTGTCCCAATGATGCCGTGACTATATTAAATAATAATAAAAAGTTACGACAAATATGCCGTAACTTTTTATAATCATTTAATATAGTTACGGCACGTTGCGGCAAAGTTACGGCATGATTCACCTGCACCTCTAATCATGAGCACTTTCTACTAAATAAAAATTGAACCCCAACCGATGAATTTAGGTGCTTGAGAGAACACGCTTAATTTGTCGTGTATCAAGATTTTTTTAATTGGTGCATTTAAGGTAAGCTGTTGAGTTCATGAATAGTTATCATTAAATAGGCTTCTCATTTATTCGCGTTAATTTACAGATGAGTATAAAGAATTTTTGTATAAATACTCTCGGGAATTTGTGAAATAAAAATTCAGAGATTCAAAACAGGTAAATTTTTTCTTTTTTTTTTTGGAAGAAATGACTAGTCAATTCTGAATATTATACAGTACTTATCTAATGTTATTTTATTCGCGTTAATTTAGTTGAATATAAAAACAAGCTAAGAATATAAAATTTATAGTTTATGTTCTCATAAGATATACATAAAAATATTATAATTAATGATTTTTTTTATCAAGAACATTAAAAATTTTTAATTTACGTTCTCAAAGATCAAACACTGGTATAAAGATCTTAATCGATCTTTTAAATAAGCTATTTAAGCTCGTGAATATTTCATGCTCTGCATTTATTTTGTTATTTTTATTCGTGTTAATTTAGTTAGTTACGTATATAGTTCTTTTTAACCAATATATTTAAAATCGTGAATTTATAAAATTGGTATTGTACCAAATATTAATTCAACTAATTCTATGTATAATAATACATTTAATTGCTTGTATGAAGAATTAATTTGTATAATACAGTATATTAAAAATAAGCTACTTTAGTTTGTGTATAAAAATGTTAGATAAACTGTTCAAATTAAGAATGTTACCATTATTTGTATTTAGTTTTTATTGAACCTTAAAAATTAATTCACTGTAATTAAAATAAATAAGAATTATTTTCGTTGATAAAAGATTTTCAGAACTTTATCTGGTAATCAGTAGCCAAAGTCACATATAAATTTGCAAAATAATATGGCTACCATATTTTCCGGGCAACGCCAGGGTTGTTCCATCGAATATAATTTAATCACATGAAATTATCGGGATCAAGACATTAACATGACAACGCGACATACTGTACAAAAAACAATTTGCTGCATTAAATAAATGTTCAGTTATCTTTAATAATTTTCAATATTGACATAGTATCTACTAATAATTCCAAGAAAATCCGAGATAATGTAATGTAGAATTTCTTAAAGGATAAGAACCTTCAGTAGAACCAGGATTGACATCAGATGGATTATCGACAGACCTCCATTGTACAATAACTTGTGGTTGAAAACTATAAGAGATTATAATTCCTTGTTGAATTTTTTCAATTATTTCTAAATCAATTGGTGCTTTTAGATTATTAAGTTCAAGATTTTTTAATAACTTATTGGCACCCAGAGATGAAACAGCATAAGCATGAGTGCAGCCTGGTTTTGTAGATTTGTAAACTCCGTGTTCATTAGATCTGCCAACAGGTATACCATGTTTTTCCCAACCACAATGACCAAGATATAATAAATCCCAACCAATAGGTAAATCAGAAAGAATATCGGTCATTATATTCACAATATTCATTTCTATATCTACATCATCTTCTAAAATTAAGACATTATCATAGTCATTAGCGATAATTGATTGGTATACCTTGTAATGACTAATGTAACAGGCTTTTTGAGAAGTTAATAGTTGATCAGAATTATTAAATTTCTCAAGTTCTTTTCTATCAAATTTTGAAACAGCAGGAAAGAATTCGAAATCTAAGTTAAGTTGATTTGCAATGGCTTCCATTTTTTCACGTCTATCAATTCGATAATCAAGATTTATAACATAAATATGATCAAAACCAAGTGTACAATTTAAACATTTAGAACTGAAAAGATTAGGAAAGTATGAAAACCAAAAGATTTTGTATAATGATATTATAGTAATAAGGCTGAAAAATAAGTGTATCATTTGCTTTTTAATACTTTTCATCATTTATTTAATGTTTAAAACAGAGCATATACTGGGTATAATGTACTAACAGCATAACGATAGTGACAGATATTTAGTATAGAATTAAAAATCAATTATTGCCAAGCCATGAATAAGAACTTTCTGTTATATAATGCCCAACAGCATAATTATAGTGGCAGGTATATGGAATAAAATTATTGCTGTTACGGGGTAAAAGTGACATCCAAAACTACAGCGAAATTGCGCCTCAAGAAGGCTTGGATGACTTATAGGCTTGAATTGGCCAAAGATAATAACATTGAACAAACAATAGAAGCCCAAGGTGTGTCATTTGAGATTCGAGGTTTGGTATAACTGCAGATGCTTAAGCTTCATTAGTTCTTAAAATTATTTAAGGGACGTAACTTTGAAACACTTACGCGCGAGGTAGGGGCACATATAAGAACACTAACATATGATAATTCCCTTTAATTAATTAACCAAAACACAACACACGCCTCTGGAGAGTTGCATTACTCATTTTTAGATAATTATTACGTAACAGATTCATAAAATTGGATCTTGTCGGTCGTATCTATCCGTAACGATTGGTGGTGACATTATCTGATCCGATAAATATCCATTTCTGCCCGTAATATTGCCAAGCCATGAATAAGAACTTGCCCGTTATAATACTCTAACATAAAGATAGTGACAAATATATAGAATAGAATTAAAAATCAACTATTGCCAAACCAAGCCATGAATAAGAACCTGTTGTTAATGCTCTAACAGCATAATGATGTGACATATACTGTATAAACTGTATAAACTGTATATAGTATAGAATTAAAAATCAATCAGTTATTGTCAAGCCGGGAATAAGAACCTGTTATGGTACGTTAGCTGCATATCTCTGTTAGATTGTTTTATTACTTTAATGGGAACAATACTAAACTTTTTGAATTTTATGAATCAGTTACCGTAAAAATCGAATTTGTGTATCAATCAATATCTCTAATCCATTTCAATATCCTGATTCCGAAAATTATACAAATTTTGACAGTATGTTGTAAAATTCAAGTTTTATACTTTTTTAGGGTAAGAACAGGTTTTTAGAAAAAATAGCTTGAATACTTTTTTTTTTTAACGAATAAATCACACGGGTAAATTGGCACTGCGGTTCCGAGGTGGTACAATCCTTGAAATCCTAAGACCTCTAGAATCGTTGTATAGTGAAATTCTCCAAACAGCAAAGATGGCCCAATTAAAAATACGTACGTAGAATAAATATAATTTGTACTTAAGAGGATAGTAGATATATTGATCATTGCACAGATTTTTAACCGGAATCTTATAAACAACAGCCGGAGTAATTTGTTATAAAAAACGAAAATTTCGATTGTTGAAAAGTCGGACCGGAATTTACATTATTAAACAGAAACCTCGGCATTTTACAGCGTTATATTCTGTATTATATTATTTCTGTTACTGTATCTCATTCTATGTAATGTCATGGGGTTACTCCATGATCGTGATTAAAAAACATGGTGGCAGAGTTTTTTTCTGGTGTGACTTCGAAAATTGATTGCCGGTAAGATATGATTATCATATAGAACTTCACCTTGATTTTCACTTCGATGAGATGATTTTAATGGTAGTTAAATCATTTAATTCTAATCACTGGATTATGAGATACCATCTATTAAGTGCAGCACAAAAACAATCTTAGAAGAATTGACTTGGCTATTAGGTAGTGATTTTCCTGTGGTTCAGTGATCAGAATTGGATATATTATCGCCATTCAAGTCGCCTCATCGAGATGAATTGAATGGTTATTCAATTCTGAACATTGTATCACAAGGTACTCGGAGTTAGTCAAAATACTCCACCCCCTCTAAAATTCAAGTTTGTTGTACAATTTTATAAATCCATCCAAACATTACGTTACATTACTGTCTTTATACGAATTCTGTTTAGTACTATATATAGTATTTAAATGAATAAAAGTTTTTACATTAAAAATAAAATAATTTTTTATATTACCTACTTTAACTTTGTCAAAATACGAGTTTATTAACTTCTCCCACCACTTCTGATTGGTTCTACTAATTATTAATATGTCGGAGTATTTGTACTATTAATTAATTTTATAGTACGTACTCCAATAATGAAATGTGGGGAAATTAGTAAACACACTCGTCAAGATGCCCCTTTTACCTTATAATTTTTTTTTTAACTTTGATGTTACATAATTTGATAAAAGATAATAATAAACTTAATTTTAATTATTAAAATTAAGTTTATTATTACGTCTTTTATCAAAGTCAGAAATAGGAAATCAGAAGAGGGGGATACAGAATTTTTCAAAGTCAATAAAATAACTATGATTGCATTGTCCTACCCAGTGTTGTCATATAAATATGACATAACTTATATGATTAGTCATATTATAATATCATATTAAGCGACATATTTAATATACTTATATATGACATAATCTATATCTTATGGCATATGATTCGTATGATTCTATATCATATGAAAATACCACATCACATTATGATCCCACCCAATTGAAAATCGAACTTTTTTCTGTAAAATCAACTAATTATTCTTTTTAACAATATATTATAGCTTTTTTGCAAAGAGGTGTAACCTTTGCAGATCGTGATGTCACGTAAAATCACGTAAAATCAGTAGATTCTAGATTTCCAATAAATATATGTAGACATTACTATAGCGGTTTGCAAAAGGGGTGTGACCCTGTGATTTTCGTTATGATGATGGCGGGAAACTATAATTCATATATTCAATCAGCAGCATTACATACATATTTATTGGAAATCTTCGTGATCTGCAGCGGGTCATTGAAAATTTTGTAATCTACAGAAAATTTAATCAACAACACGAAAATCACAAGGCCACACCTTTTTACAAAGCGCAATAAGATAAGCGGCATTTAAGGTTAATACCCAAATATGAATGGAATTTGTAAATGAAAATTCATAGATTCAGATCGTGTTTTTTTTTTTTTTTTTTTTGAAAAAATGACTAGTCTATTCTTGGGAACCAGAACCGAGATTTATTTATGGCGGTTTGCAAAAAGGTGTGACCTCTGCAGATCATGATATCATCCGATTCTAGAGTAGATTTTTCGATTCTTGGAGAATTTTAAAGATTTCGAATAAAATATAGACGTTATTGGAAACTTTTCCGCTATCATCATCACGAAATCACAGTTTGTATAACTGTATAATATTTAAAATAACTACAATTACATAATGCTACTCAATTTTTATTAGTGTTGGTTTAGTTATGTATAAAAATCTTTCTAATAAATGTATTTAAAATTTGTGAATTCATAAATTTGTTATCAAATTTAATCTAACTAGTATTTAAAATAATTATTTAATTCATATAATTGCTTGTATAAAAAAATTAATTTGTATAAAAAAAAAAATAATCTATTTTTAGTTGGTATATAATTTCTATGAATCTAAGATAAATTGTTCAAATTTCTAAATATTTAACATTATTTGTATTTATTCGGTTTGCAAAAAGGTGTGACCCTGTGATTTCGTGATGATGATAGCGGAAAAATTTCAGAGATTTTAATTCCCTATT